TCAAAGTGTGGTCCCAGACCAGTAACACCAGCCTCCCCTGGGAACTTGTTAAAAATGCAAATTTTCAGGTTCCACCAAGACTTTGGGGGTGGGGTCCAGCCATCTGTGTTTTAACAAGCACTCTGGATAATTCGGATAGGAGCTGAAGTCTGAGAATCATGGGACAAAGCTCTCAACCCTGCCATCATGGTAGAATGACCCAGAAAGCTCTAACACCGCATCATGCCTGAGCGCCACACAGTACCGATGAAATCCGGCTCCCTGGACGCAGGGCCTTGTTAGGTATGTTTTTAAAGCTCCCCGGTGGTTGTACTCTGCAGCCAGGCTTCAGGCTCACTGCCATGGAGTCAGTGGGTGCGAGCAGAGGCCAGGAGACGCTCCATCTTCTGCTCCGGAGGAGGCCAGCCCTGCCCTTGCGAGGCTTATGTGAGAGTGCGTGTCCCTGTGTGTCTGCAGCACCGAGCACTCGCCCAGGCGTGGGTGCTGGGGCTGGTGCCACGGTGCTGGGGAGGCCCTGCGTCCACGCTGAGACCCATCTGACACCGCTTCTCTCCTCGGCAGGCTGCCAGGGGCTGTGGGACAGCACGAGCTGCTGGCCCTCCTCTGCACTGGGACAGACGGTGGAAGTGGCCTGCCCGCGGTTCCTCTGGATGTTCGTGGGTAGAAACGGTAACCGCTCAGCCCAGGGGCCCAGATGGGAGGCTGTGGGGCGGCCCTCTGGGTGGGCCTGGGCCTGGCGGCCTGAGGCCGAGGAGACTTCTCTGGGGACAAGGAGTGAGTGGAAGGGTGGGGGTGGTCATCGCTGGGGATGCGACGCTTTGACTAGGGAGGTGTGGTGTGGCCCCAGTTGTCAGGGCGCCAAGCAAGGGCGCCGGGGGCCACATACTGGGGAATTGGTGAAGGAGGCCAGGCCTGCTTCTCCCTGTCCGGTGCCCTCTTCAGGAGGCTCCCCTCCTCCCTTCCACGCTTCTGCCCCCTCAGCACCTGGGGCTCTTGCTCCAGCCCTCGTGTCTGGCTCACACCGGGCCCAGGCTGGCCTTCCAGGACACTTACTTCCTCTGTGCCCTCTCTGCCAGGCCCTGCTGGTGAACTCTGCCCTCCCTGAAAGCTTCTGGCAAAGCTGCAGTTTATAAGGGTTCCCTTAATTTCAGGCAAGGGAGTGAGGAGCTTGTCTCGGGGGACACGCAGGGACGAACACTGGCTAAAGCCCTGTTACGCGCCAGGCATGTTTAGAGACGTGAGCTCGTTCAGTCATCACAAAGCCCCTGCAAACCACAGATCTTTTCCCTGCGCTTGACCCAGATCAGGAGTAAAAGTAACAGCGTCGAAGAGGGCTTTAGCCCTTGGCCTCAGGTTCACAGCTGGGAGATGGAGAGGCGGGGACTGCCGTTTCTCCTCTCTGCCACACGGTGTCACTGTGGGGCTGCAGGACCCGCCACCTGCCCGTGGGCTCGGAGGCGCTGCCCCTTGGCTGCGCTGTCCGGTCCGGGGCTGGGTGGGGGGATCATCTCAGACTGGGTCCCACTGTGCTCATGCCCAGCAGCAGGTGCAGGGCATCGGCCAGCCCAGGAGCGTAGGTCGGGTCGGGACAGTCCAGCCTCAGTTACCGAGAACCATCCTCCCGTGGAGACACCTCGGGTCCGGGGTGTGGAGGAAGGCTTCTTGGTGGTGTCCCAAGGGTTCCAGGGCTCCCCAGCCAAAGCAAGAAAGGAGGACCCAGTGAGGACAAGCTGGCACTCCAGACCCTTCCTTTTGAAAGAAGAAAGAAACAGAATTAGTTAATTCTTTCTCAGGGCACCTGCTACATGAGCCCAGCCAGAATGAGTGTTTGTGTGACTGGGGAAAGTGCAGGCTGGACTCTGCCTCCAGATATTTGTCTGTCTGTGCCAGGGCCTAGAATGTTCCATCTAGGGTGCATTCCTTTGATACTTAAAAGGGCGCTGGTCTTGCAGAGTTCCTTATTAAAAAGCACACTTGCCAAGTGGGGTCAGGCCTTGTCGTTTTTTCCCTTCTCCCTTGGTGGGGATGGGAGCCTTATAGCAGCAGAGATTCTTAACCTGACTAGGGTCCTGGGGGCTTTTGAGAATCAGATAAAGGCGTTGGCCTGGCTCTTCCCCAGACTGCACACACATATATGTATATGTGAACAGTAATGCTGCCTGTAGTTTCGGAGGCCCTTGAGGTGTTCACTGAGCTGAACTTGGGGCAGAATCCCTTACCTGTTAGGAATTAAACCCAGGGGAAGTGGTGGGGAGGAAGGGCTCCAGAGGGAGCCCACCCCTTGTCTCCTTTGCAGTTCTACTAAGAGCCCTGTCAGCAGAGGGCAATGCCTTGTTTTCTGCTCTGGGCACCTGGCCTGGATCCCACGCAGCAGCATCTTGGGAATCCTGTGGGGTCTGTGGAGAGAGGACCCCAGACCGGCAGCCCGGCCTCCAGGAACACGCTGTCTGATAACTGCTTCTGGATTCCAGGCAGTGTGCGTGCTTTTAATTCAGCCTTCTCATCCAGCCAGTGTACCTTTGACCAACATTCTTTCCTCTCTGACAGCCTAGCTTGTTTGATTTCATTACAGAAACCTTCCACCCATCTCCTAAATTCCAAGACTCCAAGCCCCACCGTCCTGGTCCTTTTTTTTTTTTTTCGGTACATGTACACGGGCCTCTCACTGTTGTGGCCTCTCCCGTTGCGGAGCACAGGCTCCGGACACACAGGCTCCGCGGCCATGGCTCACAGGCCCAGCCGTTCCGTGGCATGTGGGGTCCTCCCGGACCAGGGCACGAACCCGTGTCCCCTGCATCGGCAGGTGGACTCTCAACCACTGCGCCAACTGGTCCATTTTAGAAAGGCCAAGAGCAGAAGGAAAGTAGCCCTGTGGCTCCCACTCTGTCTGGCACCAGCCTGAGTGACGTCCATGTGCTGTCGTGTTTCCTGCTGCGTCCTGCAGTGTGGGTGATTATTCCCATTTGGCACAGAGAAGTGATGCACCTAAGGGTACACAGCAATGAAGAGCCAGTGCTGGGTTTCAAACTCAGATCTGGCTGGTTCTAAACCAGTGCTCCAGGTCTCATGAACCGTCCTAGACCTGGCACGCCTAGAGCCCAAAGGCCACGGTCTCCTGCTAGAGCTGCCCCTGGGCCCTCAGGGAGAGGGCCAGGCAGGAGGGCCTACAGTGATGGGCCACATCCTGGCTGAGCACTGTTGCCCAGTTCTGGGCCTTGGTTTTCTCGTCTGTGAGATAGGTCAGCAGCACCTCCCTCAGTGGGGCGCTGTGAGGATGAGATCAGGATCAGTACGTTAGCCTAGCGGCTGGTTCTAGAAATGCCTACCATATTTCTCCAGCTCAGTGGAACCCTGAGAGCCAGTGGCCCAGACCCTGGGGCCTGTCAGAGAGGAACACATCAGGCCCAGCTGGGGTGGCTGGGAGCCCTGGACAGGATACTGATTAGAGCGAAAGGAGCAGCAGGGCCCCTCTGTATAGGGTCAGCTCCCTGCACCCCTGCAGCCTCCACAGCAGCCAGACCTGGGGACCAGAACACGGCCCTCCTTGGCAGCCCGCAGAGGAGGGTGCAGCTGGGCCGGTCAGGGCAGGCAGGGCAGCCCCCCTGCTGTCCCAGACTTCCTTCTTGGCCGGCAGCTCCTCTACCCCAGTCTTTGGGCTCCTGTTCTAAGAGCTCCTCGTGGGCAAGCTCTTCCCTCTCCTCTTGTAGAAGGGCTTGGAGCAGGCTCTTCATCCCCCCTCATCTGCTTGTCTAGCCAGCCAGCCAGCCTGCAAATGTTTGATGAGCAAGCGCTCTGGGCAGGCCCAGGGGAGCCTTCGGGAACTGTCATCTGCCAAGGAGGCAGGGGGGCCGTTGTCACCTCCGTGTGGGTGCAGGCTGCATTCTTGTGCTGGAGGGGTGGGGTGGTGAGACCCGGGACAGGAAGGGAGCACTGTGGCTACCTTGCGATTTGTAACGCAGAGAAACGCAGAGGTGTGGCCTGGCGTCGTGGTTAAAGAGCTAATCATTCCATCCTCAGGGATGGCTGCCTGGAGGGCTAGCTCTGCTGGTTTTCAGATGCTGGGGAGCAGGGTGTGAAGTTAGATGTAAAATAGAACTTCTTAGTGCAGAAGTAGGACCAGGAGCCTGAGGATGGTCCGCTGTGGGCGGCGCTGTGTCCTCACCAGCCAGGCAGATTCTCTGGGAGACCCACCCTTAGATGGCTGCAGGGCCTGCGAGCAGGAAGGCCAGGAGTAAGAAAGGGCATTAGGACAAAGCCTGCGGCCAGGAGTGTAGGCGTGAGCCCCGGGGTTCACATCCCAGGGCCCCCATTTATGTGGTGTGATCTTGAGCAAGTTATTTAACCACGGGGTGCCTCAGTTTCCACAGCTGTAAAATGGGTGTAGTGTTTACATGTTACAGTACATTTTACTGTAAAAGTAATGGTGCTGGCCTCCTAGTCCCGTTAGGATTAAATGAGTTAATACCCATCACACACTTAGAACAGTGCCCAGCACGTAGCAGTGACAGAGTATTGTTACAGTAGAGCACGAAATTTTATAATTGAATAAACACACAGCCGTTAGTGTGAGATCAACATTGTTTGATTCAAGGTGTGTAACCTGCTCTTCTTAAGCACTGCATCCAGGCTCTCTCCTCGTAGGAGACACTGCAGTGCCTCCCAGCTTGAAGGTTCTCCGGGGGCACCCGGGGAATCGAGTGGTGATGCTGGTAGTTCTGCTGGGCCTGGGCCTGGGGCATGTGTCAGTCGTCTCCCTCACTGTGGAGCTCGGTGCCTGGCACAGTGGCCGTGAGGTGGGGGCTGGAGGGGTATCGGTGCAGGGCCGGCCAGCTTTGCAGGTCGACGTATCCGGGAGCCGCGGGTCTGTCCCATGCTCACGCATCTGCTCTAGGCCATCTGCCTGCGCACCTTTCCTACTACTTTTCCTGACTGACTCTTACTAAGGCTCCCAGGGCCAGCTGGGCCAGTTGCAGCTGCCTGTGTGGTTCAGAGAAAGGGACAGGGTGACAGAAGGAAGCTCCAGCTGCCCCTGAGACGTGGCGAGGGCACCCGGAGAGCCGGCCTAGGGTCCGGTCCCCACTGCTCACTGCAGGCTGCTTGGCCTCCACAGGTTCCATATTTCGAAACTGCACTCAGGGCGGCTGGTCAGAGACCTTCCCCAGGCCTGACCTGGCCTGTGGGGTGCACGTGAACGACTCCTCCAACGAGAAGAGGGTAAGCCTGCCAGCACCTTCCTGTGGGGCAGAGGTGGCTGGGGAGGAGAGAGTGAAGCTGGCTCAGGGTGAGGTTGGGGACCCCGGGCTGCCCCTCTCAGCCCCACACCCTCCTCACTCCCCTGGGCTGGATGGGCCCACTTCCCCACGCTGGTGCACAAGCCCAGAGGTGATGGACCTGAAGAGCATGGCACAGTGAGAGCTGTCACGTGCCATTAGGATGCTGGGGACGGGAAGGCGTGAAAGCCAAAGAGCAGAGACTGGGGCTAAATGCTTGGGGCCCAGTGGTGAGTCTGAACCTGCCTGTGACCTTGGGGGTTGGGGAGGATGTAACTTCTCTGTGCCTCAGTTTCTTCATCAGGGAAATGGGGTTAGTAATAGTCCTGACCTCACAGGCTCATGAACCTGGGAAAGTGCAGGCAAGTGTGCCTGGCTGCAGTGCCAGCTCACAAATGTCCCTTCTCAGAGGAGCCTCGGGCTCCAGAGGCAGGAGAGCCCGGCGGTGGGCAGGCCTGGTATGAGACAGGACGCTGGTGCGGTGGGCTAGGGGCCGTCTGGTTCAGAGCCCTTCCCAAAGGAGATTGAGTGGGGCCTGACGTGGAGGATCGGGTTTCTTCTCTCCCAGGTCTTATCAGCCAGTTAGGGAAGACACATGAGGTCTTTAGATCTGATGGGAGTAATTTAATAAGGATACCTGTGGTCTTGGAGGGCCAGTGGGTGGGCTCTGACCTCTGTAGATTACCATTTCTGTCACTGTCCTATATGAAGACAGGAGGCTTATGTGTATCACGTTTGTAAAGTCCATAAGGTTAAGAGGGATCATTTGTATAATGGGTGGCAGGACGGAGGTTCAAAAGTGACAGAAATTTCCAACTGGCTTCGTAAGCTAATGTGGCTCACGTAGCTAGGGATGCGGAGAACGGGCATCAGGACCCTTTCATGAGCAGTACCCCAAAGCCACCCAGGACCAGGTTCTTTCTGTCTCTCCTCCTGCTAGCCTGGTGGGTTATCCCAAGGCTGGCTCTCTTCCTGTTGTCAGATGACTGCCATTGGTGACTATAGCCGCAGAGTCCCCAGGCCTGCCTGTCCAGGAGGAGGGACAGCCTTGCTTTTCTTGCTAACAGCAAGAAAGTTTCTTAGCCAGGCCGCCAGCAAGCCTGTCCTGACATCTCACTGGCCCAACGTGACTTGAGCCTGTCCACCTCCAGACCATCCCTGGCAGAGGGTTGGGACATGTGCTTGGCTTGGACCAGCAGTTCTCAAACTTTTTTGCCTCGGGATCCTTTTACACCCTTGGGAGTTATTGAGGACCCTAAAGAGCTTTTGGTTTTGTGAGTTATGTATATGAAAACCACATATAAGAACTGTTGGTTTAGACTAATCAGCTGGGCGAGAGCAGAGCCCAGGACCTTAACCATGTTGTTCACGGCCGGGTTGAAACTGTAAAGTGCCAGAAGAAGGGGCAGAGATTTAACAAAGATAAATGCGGGCCCCTGGTGGCTCAGTGGTTAAGAATCCGCTTGCCAATGCAGGGGACACGGGTTCGAGCCCTGGTCCAGGAAGATCCCACATGCCATGGAGCAATGAAGCCCTTCACCACAACTGCTGAGCCTGTGCTCTAGAGACCACGAGCCACAACTATGGAGCCTGCATGCCACAACCACTGAAGCCTGTGCACCTAGAGCCCGTGCTCCACAACGAGAGAAGCCACCGCAGTGAGAAGTCCACACACCGCAACCAAGGGTAGCCCCCGCTCACCACAACCAGAGAAAGCCAGCATGCAGCAACGAAGACCCAACACGGCCAAAAAAAAATAAGTTAAATAAATTAAAACAAAGATAAATGCAAAGTTCTGGACTTAACTCAGAAAATTAGTTGTCTAAAATAGTAAAAAGAAGACCTACCGTGGCTTCAGGTCACATTAAAAAAAAAAAAAAGAATCCCTAAGACTGGTGGAAGGGTTTCCAGACCATGTGATTCACTGGTCCTTAAATGCCAGTCCACAGACAAGCACAGACTTTGTCTTTTTTTTTTTCTTTTTGGCTGTGTTGGGTCTTTGTTGCTGCACGTGGGCTTTCTCTAGTTGCAGCGAGTGGGGGCTACTCTTTGTTGCGGTGAGCAGTCTTCTCATTGCGGTGGCTTCTCTTATTGCAGAGCACGGGCTGTAGGCGCTCTGGCTTCAGTAGTTGTGGCTCGCAGGCTCTAGAACGCAGGCTCAGTAGTTGTGGTGCACGGGCTTAGCTGCTCCATGGCATGTGGGATCTTCCCGGACCAGGGCTCGAACCCGTGTCCCCTGCATTGGCAGGTGGGTTCTTAACCACTGCGCCACCAGGGAAATCCAGGGCTTGTGGGATCTCAGATCCCTGACCAGGGATTGAACCCAGGCCCGTGGCAGTGGAAGTGTGGAGTCCTAACCACTGGACTGCCAGGGAATTCCCACAAACTTTTTCTTTTATTCTGAGAATTGAATCATCCTTTCTTAGTGCTGAAATGTCTTTTTCTCTTTTAATGAAATGATGGTGAAAGTGTATATTAGTTGGTTGTCTTTTTGCAACTTCCTGACTTGGCACACACCAATTGCCAACAGGGGACTCAGATTAGCAGAAAGACCAGGCAAAGCTGCCACTTGGGTAAAAAAAGTGGAGTTTGCTAACCCAGAGCAGAGGTTAGCAAACTAGGGCCCTTGGGCCAAATCCAGCCCACCATCTGCTTTTGCAAATAAAGAGTTATTGACACACAGCCACACCCATTTGCACTGTAAGGGCAGAGTTGAATAGTTGCAAAAGGACCAAATAGGTACCCAAAGCCTAAAATGTTTCCTGTCTGTCCCTTTATGGAAAACATCTGTTGTCTCCTGATGTAGAGGATAGAGAAGGAGGGGGCCCAGTCGAGACGCACAGCAGAGAGATGGGCAGCTTGATCCAGGACAGGCAGCAGCCCTCTGGGGGGCAGGGGGTGCACAGCTGCAGAGGTTGAGGCCTGGGGCACTGAGGTCACATCTGGCTTCCTGGGAACAGGGCTCTTTTGGGGTCAGATCTTACAGACAAAGGCAGAGCAGGCCAGGGCATCCTGAGGGTGCCCCGGCAGACAATAAACCAGCCACAGGACAGCACGGGATGCTCAGCCTGGACCCTGCACGCTTGTCACCCCACGCCTCCTCACGTTGCCACAGGCTAACCCGATGTGCTCCTGACCCGGGCTGCAGACCCAGGCGTCCCTGGGGTGAGGCCGACGCCCTCAGCTGTGGGGCACATCCCACACGTGATGAGATCCTAGGACACATTGGTCCTCCGATTTTTTGACATTTCACTGCTCTTTGACGTCCCTACGTCTAGGAACCATTCATCCAATGCAACTTACTGCCGTTGTGGCTCCCCGCTTGTTGCTGAGAGGTGGCTTCTGGCTTCTGGAATTGCAGTCGCCTCAGTGCAGAAGCACAGGGTCACATGGCAGCCAGCCCGTCAAAGGTTCCCTCTGCTGACAGGAAACTTTCAGTCGGTCTGAGTCCCGTCGACTTTGTGGTTACTCCCCTACCCCTGGGGCTCACAATTAAGTCTCAGGCGTTTTAGTACTCAGCTTCCCTGAGCTTGTTTGTTTCCTTTAGGGTGCAGTGTAGCCAGTTCAGATGACAGTCACCTTCCTCCGGAAATGCTCCACTTTACTAATGCTCCTCTTAAAATAACATACCCAGTACGGGACCAAACACTCCAGACATTCCAACGTGGCCTGCTTCACAGCACTCCATTAATGTAACTGAGAAGAGACCTAATTGTCCTAGCAGCTACCTCGTACCCATACCTCACACCGGCAGTGTCAGACTGCTGACTCAGACTGAACGGTGGTTGGTGGGGGGTAGAGGGTGGAGATGGGGAAGAATCATGTGCTGAGTGTCTTCCAAGTGCCAGGCACTGTCTAGATACACTACCTGATACCCTGTTTGTTCTTCCAAAAAGCCCGCACGGTAGATATTATCCCCATTTTGCAGATGAGAAATCTGAGGCTCAGAGAAGTTAAGTAATTTGCCCAGGGTCACACAGCTGGTGAATAGTAGCAGTCCTGGGTTTGGAACCCTTGTCTCTTGGCTCTGAAGCCTGTGCATATTCTCTCTGCATACGCTTTTTTAATGCCATGGAGCTTGGGCCACTCAAACCTCAAAGTCATTTTCATATGAACAGCTGTCAGGTTTCCCCAATAGTGTTCTTGTGCCTGTGGTTCTTTGTTTTTTATTACCCTTTTCTTCTGTTTATAAGATAGTGCTTACCCACTGAAGAAAAATGAAAAGTACAGAAAAAAAAATACAAATGAAAATAACAACTCTATCCACAAGTTTATACTCCAAAGTTAACCACTGATAATGTCTAACACACCTCCTCACAGTCTTGTTTCTGTGTGTGTATGAGACTGAACCACATGAGATGGCCAATATGCAGTCTTTTTCGATGTACAGAAAAGGACAGTTTCATACAATTCAACCTAACCCTTTTATTTACATAAAGCAGAAATCACACTGTACATGTAAAGTTTGTATTCTGCCTTTTCAGTTAACATTACATTATATCTTGACATCTTTTAAAACTCTTGGTAAGCACCCTTTTTTAATGTAGTCTAACCTTTGGATTTAAAAGAATTTAGTTAACTATTCTTCTGTTGTTGGGCGTTTGTGTGTTTTTCATCAAAAATGGTTCTGTGATAAACATCTTTATATATGAATATGCTTTTATATTTCTGATAATTCTTAGAATTAATTCCTAGAGGTAGAAGGGTGGTCAGAAGGAATGCATGTTTCAGAGGTTCTTGATACATGCTACTTTCCAGAGAGACTGAACCAATTTTCACTCCCACTATACCTTCACCTACATAGAACATTATTCCTTTTAAATATTGGTTAATTTGGTTGGTAAAAAAAAAATGGCATTATTGCTTTACTTTTTATTTCCTTGATTCTTTTTAACGTAAACTAGATAGCTAGTGGGAAGCAGCGGCACAGCACAGGGAGATCAGCTCGGTGCTTTGTGACCACCTAGAGGGGTGGGATAGGGAGGGTGGGAGCGAGGGAGATGCAAGAGGGAAGAGATATGGGAACATATGTATACGTATAAATGATTCACTTTGTTATAAAGCAGAAACTAACACACCACTGTAGAGCAATTATACTCCAATAAAGATGTTAAAAATAAAAAGACTGTTGTACAATTTGGTTTTTTTTTGAACCTTAAAAATACAGGTCTTCACATTTATTTCTATATGTCACATTATTCCATTCCACTGAGATCTTGAATCAAAGATGAGCCAATAGTGTGAGGTGGCTGCTGAACAAGTAAATGACTCTTGGCTGCATTTATAAGAGTGCAGTGTATAGATCAGGGGAAGTGACGGTCCCACTCTATTTCTTCCTGGTCAGAGAATGCATCTGGAGCTCTTCAGCTATCTGGTTCTGGGTGTCTTGTTTAAGAAGGACATTCACAAACTGGAGCATATTAGTTGAGAAAAATGGTGAAGGGTTATGGAAAGAGATTAAAGACACAGGGAATATTTAATGCTCAGATGGGGGACAGATGGGCAGAAGAATTGTATTCAGAAAGGACAGGCCTCTCTGTAGAATCCTTGTCACTCTTCTATAAGTCTAAAGCTATTCTACCGTGAAAATTTTATTTTTAAAATAATTATGGGCTCTAGGTACAAGACAAATTCAGTTTATTTTCAGTGACTCCAGAAGAAAAGGGACCAATAGGTACAATTTAAAGGTAATAGGTTTTAGATTCACTTGAGAAAAAATTATCTAATACTTTGCACTGTTGTATACCCAGTGACTTCTTCAAAAAGCAGTGAGCGCCTCATCCGTGGAGGTATTCAAGCAAAGGCTTGAATTCAGGGTGATGGTCAGGGGCCCTGTGTATGGGATAGAATGTTGAACTGGTATCAGATGATCCCCAAGGTCTTTTCCCAAGCCAAGATGTCGTGAGTCTATGAATGTGTGTCCTTGGGGTATGAACAGAACAGCGGTCAGAGTTGAATGGGCTTCGGCAGCCTGGAGCAGGTGCACTTCTGTGGCAGAAAAGGGCGGGTTCAGCCAGGTGGGTGGGTGGGGCTGACACGGCCCTCTCTCTCTGCAGTATGAGTACCTCCTGAAGCTGAAGGTCATGTACACCGTGGGCTACAGCTCCTCCCTGGTGATGCTCCTGGTGGCCCTCGGCATCCTCTTTGCCTTTCGGTAAGAACCTGCTGCCAGCTCTCCGTCTTCCCAGCCTTCCCCGGCACAGACTTTGGGTCTCTTTTAATTGTTCTGACCAGAGAGAGGAAGGTCTGGGTGGGCCATTTTGTCCCCTCCTGATCTAAAGCTTACCTGTGGCAAAACTTGGAAGTTTCTGTGACCTCATTCATTCCTTTATTCAGTTGACATTTACTGAACATCACTAGAACTTACTGCACCAGTTGCTTTACATGTATCATTTCTGATTTTCACACAATGCTGTGAGATAGGTATCATCCCCATTTTACAGGTATATTAGCCAGACTCTTGGTTGCAAGAAATAGAAATCCACCTTAAAACACCTTAAGAAAAACAAAGGTGACCTGATGCACACAATTGACAAGTTCAGGGACATCTGGCTTTAGGTGTGCCTGGATCTAGGTGCTCCAAGGTATCACCAGAACTGGGTCTGTCTCCTGCCATTTCTTCACCTTGCATTGGCCTCAGGCAGGCTTTATGCAGGGCTGGCACAGACAACAACCAGCAGCTGCAGATGTACATTCTACCAGCTCAGTGACACCAGGGCCAAGGACCCCCTTCTTCATTAGTTGCAATGAAAGTCCTGGGGGAATTCTCATTGGCTGGCTTGGGTCACATGCCCAGCCCTGAGCCAATCACTGCAGTCAGGTATGGAGCTCTGACTGGTCAGGTCTGTCATGAGGGTGGAGGTAGCGTCATCCCCAACCAGAGATGGGGTGCATTCCCCGTAAGAAAGCCTGGTTCCTGAAGCGGAAGGAGGGGAACAGTTAAGAGACTTCTGCCCCTACAGCAAGGGGGAAACCTAGGCTCTGGCTGGTGAAGGGCTTGCTCTAGGTCGTGTAGCTGAAAAGTGGCAGAGCCGGGTCTGATTTCTCCCCACAGCCTGTGTTCTTTCTGTGCCACTTGCCCCCTTCCCCACCCACTTCTGACAATTCTGGGAGCTGGAGGTGGTGGTCGGGGCAGAATAGGATCTCGCCCTTATAACCCCAGATTTTGTTGTTGTTGTTGTTGTTGTTGTTGTTTTTTAAATTGCAGCATGAGACAGAGTAGGCTGGGCACCTGGGGGCCTGGGCTCATTCAGGTTCTGCAAACAGGGAGATTTAGAGAGTTGTCACGTCCAGGGCCTGGGTTTCCGTGGTGCGTGGGGGTGGGGGGAGGGTGGGCGGCTGAGCCCTGGGCCTCTCCGGCTCTGGCCCCTACGGCCCTGCATCCTCTCCCTCCAGGAAGCTCCACTGCACCCGCAACTACATCCGCATGCATCTCTTTGTGTCCTTCATCCTGCGTGCCCTGTCCAACTTCATCAAGGATGCCGTGCTCTTCTCCGACGACGACGTCGCCCGTTGTGATGCCCACAGGGTAACCCGCCTGCGTGGCCCACGGCGTGGCCAGGCCTGCCTGCTCCCCCGCTGCCCCTGCCGTCCCTGCTGAGGCTGCACTTAATGCCTAGAGTAAAGGGGTCAGCGCTGGGGAGGTTCAGGGAGTCTCATGTCCCCAGATGCACAGTCTGGGACCCACATGAAAGCAGTTTGTCGAGAAGCCCATGGGGCTGCTGTTCAACTCCCAGTGTCCTGGAGTGGATTAGCCATTCTGGGAATTAGACACATAGCAATCCCCTCCCTTCCCTGCTCCTGCCAAGTCCCAAATGTAGACAGGTAGCTAAAGCTAGAGGGTTGGGATTGTAGAAAGAAAAAGGTGAGCGTATGCTTGTGTGTCTGCACACCCAGATGTGCAGTAGAACAATTGTTTTGTTAAATCTAACCCTCATCCTCCTTCTGAAAGCTCAGATGAGTCTTCGTTCATTGCAACATCACTGGGTACCAGCTGAGGATCCCTTTCGCTGTATGTAACAGAAAACTGTACATCAGTGCCTTAAACAGATGGGGGTTGTTCCCCACAGAAGCAGTCCACAGAGGTGGCACTGGCTCCATGCCATGATGGACACAGTCCTTTCCCCTTTCTGCTCTGCCATTCTTGATCCCATGCTTTACACTGCATATTAGCAATGTGGCTGCTGCAACCCCAGGCCTCACATCCATGTTCCAGGCAAAAAGCAGGGAAGTCAAGGTTGAACATTTTTTCTCTTTGGGAGGCTTTGCCTCTTCCCAAGATTATGTCTACATCTCCCGGGCTAGAACTGTGTCATGTGACAACATCTAACTGCAGAGGAAGCTGGGAGATTATTTTACTATCATAGTCTCCACAGCAGAAGCCAGCAAGGGAGAAGGGGACTGGAAATCGAGATTGGTTTAGTCAGCCTGCCCGCCACTTCCCACCACTCACGTCTGTAATTGCTCACAGATCTGTCAGGTGTGCATTGCTTATAGTTTTCCATGTGCGTGTGTGTATGTGTGTGTTTTCTGACTCAAGACTGAGAGGTCCCTCAAGGAGGGCCCCTGTGTCTCAGGGAATTTCCTGGGAGTCAGAAGACAGATGCAGGCCCCACCCCATCACTGACCAGTGGAGAAGTCCAGCAGCGCCCAGAAGGGAACCTTTCCAGGTTCTACTAGCCCGCAGACTAACGAGCCAGCCACAGGCCACGCCTGGAGTCGGAGTGTCTGGGAGGCCACAGGCGGCCCTGGGTGCTCCTCCCCTGTGGACGTGGACGTGACCTGCGCTCTGTGCAGCAGCCCTCGGGCCATCCCGGGAGCTGTCCTCTCTTCAGGGAACAGCGCAGTGAAAGGAAAGGAGGCCCTCACAGTGCGGGAATGGGCGTCGTGCCGGCATAGAAGCCTCGGCCCGCCAATCGCACAGGCATAGCTTCCAGGGATCCCGGCAAGGGACAGGCCTGCCACAAGAGTCACAGCATCAGGCAAGGCCAACCCTGGCACCCCCCTCGGGTATTCAGAGGCCTGCAGTCCAGACGCAGTGCACCAGGCAGGGTCGTGTACTCTCATCAGTGTCAGCTCCTCCCTTCTTCACCTATTTCCAGGAAAACTAAGCCTGGAAAGGATTTTATTAACCTTTTGCTCAGAAATCCCTTTCCCTCGCTAGGCCTCAGTTCCCTCATCTGAAAAAATGCCCTCGTTTGCTGCTGGGAATTGGGTGATATCTGACCGTTTGATACCTGGCAGCCGGTTCCAGAATTTGAATGCCGTTCCTGCTGCTGCAACAGCCCTTTGGCCATCTTGACCGAGCCTGCTGGCCTGTGGATTTCCACTCTAGAGAGCTCTATGAGCCTGGTCTTCTCATAGTGGAAGGCCAGAGGGGGTGGCCGTGAGCCCCAGAGGCTCGCTGCTTGGCCTGGCTGCTGACCCCTGGTGCACCCCACCTCTCCTGGAGGGAAGCCCAGGGCCGCCGGCCTGGGGCTCAGCTGCCTCTCTTCTCAGGTGGGCTGTAAGCTGGTCATGGTCTTCTTCCAGTACTGCATCATGGCCAACTACTCCTGGCTGCTGGTGGAAGGCCTCTACCTTCACACACTCCTCGTCATCTCCTTCTTCTCAGAAAGGAAATGGCTCCAGGGATTTATTGCCCTCGGATGGGGTATGTTTCTCCAGGGGTGCGGTGGCTGCATGCTATGTGGGAAAGGGCACTGAGGCAGAAGGAGAAGGGCGTGGGTTCCAGGTTCAGCTCTATACTTAGTTAAGTTCCTGAACTTGTGTGATCTTAGACAAGTTGCTTGATGGTTAACTCTCCGGCCGCAGTTTGTCTGTCACATGGAAAAAAATAGCTAAAATTTGGATGCTCCAATTTCTGGCATCCAAAGCCTTTTACAGTTTGATACCCCCAACACTGTTGCCTCGTCTTCCCCAGACGTTGCATCCATACGTCCTCATTCCTGCTTCCTTTTGTATCAGTTAGGGTGCTTTTGACTGTAGGTATCAGAAAACCTGGCTTAGATAGGCTTTAAACAGCAAAGAAATTAATTGGTTCATGTAACTGACAAGTCCAGGGATCACCAGCTTCAGGTGAGGCTGATTCCAGCAGCTCAACGTTTCTTTTTGTTTTTCTGCTTTGCCTTCTGTAACATCAGTGTTATCATTAGGTGCTCCCAATGTAACTTCCAGCAACTCTGGGCTTCTTCCTGGCTTCATTGTTACATCTGATGAAAGAGAGAGGCTGTGTCCAAGCACTCCCGGCAAATACTCTGAAATTCACTCTGCTTGGACGAGCTAAAGTGTTATACACATCCTTGAACCAATCACAGGGGCCTGAGAGAATGGAATACACTGATTGGCTTAAGCTACTCAAACCACATAGCTTCCCAAAGGAAATTCGGGATTCAGTTTCCAGGAAGGAGGGGAAATGGTAGTAAGACAGCTAACTGCAGGCCCCATTGCTTCTCTTTCCCCTTTCCTTTCTGGTCAATGAAGATGATAATCTGATTTCTTGAGCACCTACCGTATGCCAGGCTTTGAGCTCAACACTTTGCATGCATTATTTTATCATCACAACAACCTCCAGAGGCCTCTTAGAGGAATCTTGGCTCAGAGACATAACGTAACATGCTCAGCTCACACTGTAGGCAAGGGTAGAACCAGAATTCAAACCAAGGCCTCTCTATTTGCAAAGCCCCTTAACTCTTATTCTGCCATAAACAAACATCCATCTATCCATCCTTCTGTCCATTCGTCCATCCCTCCCTCCCTCCCTCCATCCATCCCTCCATCCCTCCATCCATCCACCTATCCATCCATCCATCCATCCTTCCATCCAGCCATCCCTCTATCCCTTCTTGCCTCCCTCCCTCCATCCATCCATCAATTGTTCATTTGATAATCATATGTAAGTTCCCCACTGGGTTCTAGACAGAGTCAGGTTTCTGTGAGTGACTCAGGCTTACAGGGGTAGTCATGTGTAGTAGCCATTAGCTTCATTTACTTACTTCTTTAATTAAGAAGTGCCCCTGCCAGGAATGCGCCCCACTTGTCTAAACCCTCATGTGCAAGGGCTGTATCTCCTCATCAGAAGGAATGCCCCCCACTTGTCTAAACCCTCATGTGCAAGGGCTGTATCTCCTCATCAGACCATCAGGGAAGTTGCCTGAGCCAGCAGAGTTCACTGAGCCCTCCTGCTTCTGAGCTCTGGCAGCCTGATTAAAACATGACCCTCAGTCAGCAGGAGATGTAGGGCTCTGCCGATCTGGATTTCCACATAGGCCAGTAGTTCCAGAGAGCCTGGGACAAGGGACTTGCCTTATGCTGCTAACTCTGCCCCAGATGCCCCCGGTGTCTAGCGGGTTTTTAGGTGGTTTAAGTGAGATAATGAGAGCCTTCTTTTCTTACTCAAGTATATTTTTTAATTATTTGTTTATTTATCTGGCTGCGCTGGGTCTTAGTTGCAGCACGCGGGATCTTTAGTTGCAGCAAGTGGGATCTTTTAGTTGCAGCATGTGGGATTTAGTTCCCTGACCAGGGATGGACCCCGGGCCCCCTGCATTGGGAGCACAGAGCCTTAGCCACTGGGCCACCAGGGCAGTCCCTCTTCCTCAAATATTTATTGAGCATCTGCTATATGCCAGGCCCTGGGGATAGAGCAGCACATTAAACAGCAGCGGTTCCTTCTCTCCGTACCTCTCTGCCTGCACAACCCCCAGGGGACATGAAGGGACTCAGGAAGGTCTAAAGCTGTCTGTCTGCGAGAGGCTCTTGTCTTGCAAAAGCAGCGGCCCCTGCCTCAGTTTGTACTCACCCCCCTCCCCAGAGATAGGTTGCTGAAATGAGTATGGGGCCACCATAAAACTCTGCAAAAAAAAAAAAAAAAAATTAAGTAGGAAAAAAAATTACCGTAGTCCCATCTGTTGAACATTTTCTAGGGTTTCCTTCCAGACTTTTTTTATACTCCCAGTTTTTCCCACATGGTTGCAGTCGTCCTTTATGTAGAATTTTGAATCTTGCCTCTTTCCATGAACACTGAAGCATCCTCTGTATTCTTTCAAATCTTCAGTAAACGTTTTTAACCACTGTGTGGATGTATGTAACCAAATACCTATTTCTTGGATGTTTAGGTTGTTTCTCATTTTTCACTGTGATAAATAACACAGTGAGGAATACTTTTATGGGCAAAGCTTATTCCATGTGTAATAGAGAATCCTGCAATTGAGAGCCCTGAGTCAGAAGGCACAAGCTTTTGAAGTTTTTATTACGTGTCCAAAGCTTTTACTTTTTCAAGGTGGCTGGGTGTCAGTCTGTGCCCAGGCAAGAGCGATACCTCTCGCTTTTATAGAAGCTGTGTCAAACTCCCTTTCACTGAGGGAACTCAGACTGGTGGTGCTCCAGCTGGAGCTGTGTTGGAACCATGCAGAGGGCACATCAACCTGGTTGCCTGGGCCCCGCCCCACAGTCTCAGTCCAGTGGGCCAGCGGTGGAACCCGAGACTCTGCATTTCTAACCAGGTCCCAGGTGATGCTGATACCGCTGTTGCAGGGACCACAGTGAGAACCACGACTTAAGCCATTATCTGCTTTTCAAACTTTTCCACTGACTCACTGTTAAAGATGCAAGACAAATAATCATAAACAGGTGGCCCTCAGAATACATGTTTGCCCAAAATACCCACAATTGAGGCAGAGAATTTTTTTTTATCAAAGCCATATGTGTACTTGGTTTAAAGAATTAAATAGAGCTACAAGTCTAAAATGAAAAAACAAACAAAAGCAAGCAGCCTCCTGAAGAGGCTCCCACTTCTGCCACCCAGATGTAACATCCTCCAGCTCTTGAGCTGCTCCTTTTGATATCTGCTCTCATGTTTCTAAACAATATTCTACTATGTCTTGATTTGTCCATCTGAGGCATTATTTTTTTTTAAACTATTCACATCCTTGGCCCACTTTTTAAAAAATATTTATTTGTTTGTTTGGCTGCGTTGGGTCTTAGTTGTGGCACGCAGGATCTTCGCTGCAGCACACGGAATCTTTTTGTTGTGGCGTGCGGGCTCTAGAGCGCACAGGCTTAGTTGTCCCTCCGCATGTGGGATCTTAGTTCCCAGACTAGGGATCCAACCCACGTCCCCTGCATTGGAAGGTGGATTCTTAACCACTGTACTGCCAGGGAAATCCTGAGGCATTATTTGTTGACTCCTTGTGATTAAAGGGAAGGGTATAAAATTCTTCATCTGCCACCTCTATCCTCCTGTTAGAGTCTTTCACAGTTTGGGGCTAAATCACAGTATTCAATGTATACATCATCATGTCTATGTAAATATTGTTTAGTACTGAGCCAACTGGTGTACATTGATTTTACTTCCAATATTTAAGTTTTTATATTTTATGGAGTCATTTTTTAATTTAATTTTTATTTTATTTTGGAGTATAGTTGATTTACAACGTTACGTTAGTTTTAGGTGTACAGCAGAGTGGATCAGTTATACATATACATGTATCCACTCTTCTTCAGATTCTTTTCCCATTTAGGTTATTACATAATACTGAGTAGAGTTCCCTGTGCTGTACAGTAGGTCCTTTTTGGTTATCTATTTTATGTATAGTATAGTGTGTGTGTTAATCCCAGACTTATGGAGTTATTTTTTATTGACTCATTTTGTGTTGCTGTCACTAATTCTCCCAGGTCCGCAACAGAACTGGAAAACCCTCCACTGCTGGTTCCCCATCATCAAATGCAACAACGTGAAGTCCACTAGTTCCTATTTGTCTGCTTTATTCCTGCTGTATTAGTGTCCTAGGGCTGCTGTAACAAGTTGCCCCTTGTCTTAAAACAACAGAAATTTATTGTCTCCCAGTTCTGGAGGCCAGAAGTTCAAAGTCGGGTCTTGGCAGGGCTGCTTCCTTCTGAGGGCTCTGAGGGACAATACGCTCTATGCCTCTCCCCTTGTTTCTAGTGGCTGCTGGCGGTCCTTGGCCTTCTTTGCCTTGTAGGAGCCTCACTCCAATATCTCCCTCCATCTTTACATGGTCTTCTTCCCTCTATGTCTCCTCTCTGTGTGTATCTCACGGCCTTCTCAAAGCGATGCCAGTTATATTGGATTAAGGTCCTTGTAAGTATGACTTCGTCTTAACTAATAGCACCTGCAAAGACCCTATTTCCAGAAAAGGTCACATCCTGAGGTTCTAGGGGTATGAACCTTTTGGGGGGATGCTATTTAACGTGATACACCCACGCATGTTCTTTCTAGAAGAGCCTTCTGCCCTCCTGCTCTATCTGCGCTGATCATTCTCTAGACTTGCTCAACTCCCTTAACCTTCAGGCTGAGATTTCCTTCGTTTTCCTCCACGAATCCTATTCCTTGACTTCTTGTCTGCCTCTCTTTGGTTAACTGTCAAGTCGTGTTGGAGCACATCCTCCAGTGTCTGTCTTAACAAAGAGTGCTACATTTTATTTTTATGGCTGCGTTGGGTCTTCGTTGCTGCGCGCGGGCTTTTCTCTAGTTGCGGCGAGCAGGGGCTACTCTTCGTTGAGGCACACGGGCTTCTCATTTGCGGTGGCTTCTCTTGTTGTGGAGCACGGGCTGTAGGTGTGCGGGCTTCAGTAGTTGTGGCGCATGGGCTCAGTAGTTGTGGCGCACGGGCTTAGTTGCTCCGTGGCATG